TCCATCTGGTGTGGGTGAGTGATAGTCTACTTTGATTTTGGTTAAGGTGGATTATCACTTACAGTGTAATCAGTGAGGGGATTCTACAGACTGTTGAGGGTTCAGCCTCCTGATGAGTCGGTGAAACTCCGACGAAACATTTTGTCACAGCCCCTCGTTTGTTGTCCTCTTTTCCCTCTCTGCCTACGGTTTACCGGGCAGTTCTATTTGACGATATATATATATTTCACAGGATGTTCATTTAAAAGAAAAGAAAAAAGGGAATGAAAAGGAGGTGCAGTGCCGGCCAGGGTTGTCTGGCACTGTGTTGATTCGTCGCAGCTGGTCATCATCCCCGGGTTTGAGAGCGGATGGGCTGAAGGGTGAAGGTAAGTGTGGTGAGCATGAGTGTAATCATGGTGTCTACCATTGCGAGGGGCGTTACTTTTTTCCAACACAATTGGCTTGTGCATTGGCTTCTACTTCTCATGTGGTAACCAGTCATCAAACAGCACCATCAACAATCAGCAGTTGATGAGATGTTTTGGGTTTGAGTCAGCAGTCAAGCTAAGTATTTTCAACCCTATCTTACCAGTCTATTTGTCTTCTTACCGTGAAGAGGAGCGTTTTGCTTCAATGATGTCTCTCTGCGAGGTGCGGGTGCCATTCAACCTTGAGTCTCATCCCAATTCTGGCAAATCTGGTGGGAGATGCACAGTGTATGGGAAGGGCCCAGATGAGGCAGAGCACATGATGATGAGGATGTAGTCAATGCCTGCATGGTGAGATTTTGCTTTCGGCAACAAAAGGCATCAGACTTCGCTTCTTATATACCCGCCACCAAGGTTGGCTTGGTCAGGTGCTGGGGTAGTGGGCTGTGCAACAATTGCACTCACTGGAGCTTCTGTTGGCATTTTGAAACATGTTTAGTAACTTTAGTGCCTTGACTCATTCTATTGCACAAAATGATGGAAATCCTTCATTGTCGAAGCAACTATTCGGTTATGGTGCACTGTGTGTAGGAGGCATGAACTGTGCAGCTGCACAGCCAATGACCGGTCAAAGAGGGCATACCGGTTTCCACACTTTGTGCCTCTTACCCATGAGTTGTGGCCAATGCCCAGGGGGATCACAAGTGGCTAATAGGGACCCCCACTTTTCAGCCCATACTATAGGTGTAACCCATCAAGCACTGAAAAGGGCACTTAGGGGATATGCCATTGAGGGCGTATCGGCTAATATATATATGTCGATGAGGCGAAGGTCCAGTGTGGTAGGCTGTCAACAGAAACAAAGAAGGAGATGTGTTGTAACTCGTACCCACACAGTCAAACATGACAGGTGCCAGACTCTGCTTAAAGTCACACGGAAGGCGATTTCAGGCTGATTGGTAAGATTGTTCACTCCTCACTCACCCTTTCCCTGCCTTCCGCCCTGCCCACATTCCTTCCTCTCCCCTTTCCCCTCTCCCTGTAACCATGCCTTTCCCTCATTGCCCCCGTCCCTGCACTGCCAATCCATTTTGCCTTGCTCCCTCTCTTCCCTGTCTATGTACCTATCTTTCTGTTTTCTCCCACCTCCCATCCCCTCTGTAACTTGGTCTTCCTCCCTCTCCTCACTCACTTGTTCAGCAATGCAATGGTCACTCACATGCCTCCAAAAAGCACACTAAACATTGTCGTCATCGCCTCGCCAGGTGTCGCCTTTCTCTTTGCTACCAACCGCCCAGCGTACCAGAAATTGAGTGCCCATGAGCTGAACATGATTGCATACGTCACCCCTATATTGACTCCCTTGGTGAAGCCACCCTTCACGCCGAGGGCAAGAGTTTTCTCAAGGGCTTTGGAGTATGCATCGAGCGCCTTGTCCTCTCCCACAAAGGAATAGACAGTTCGAATGGAAGACAGAGTCTGCAGGGCAACCTGTCCTGCCCCTGTGTAAGCTTGCTGAGCCTTTGCGTTAAGCCCAGAGAGGACATACACATAGGATCCTCCAGCTACTGCCAGTGCAGGTATCACAACAAGTGTGATGAGGGCCAGTTCCCAGACTCCTGAAAACCCAACACAAAAGCCTGCTGCAAACAATGACAAAAACTGTAGAAACACCCCGAACTGTTCATGTGATTAACAATGGAAATCGACCACCAACCCCCACAACACAGCACATACGTAGGATTAGAATGCCTCTCGTCTTAAACCACTAGTACATTTGACGGTTCGGAAAATAGGGAGCCTCGGGTGGGCCTCCAATCTTTTAGGAGGCCGAAACGAACAACGGCCACCGATGAGATTTATCAACGGCGGCCGTCGTCGGGCCCAGCCCCTGACTTTTTAGGAGCTTGTGAAAACTGCCAGTTTTCCCTCTTTTCCCGACCGCCAAAGGTACTAGGAAAACAACAACAAAAAAAAAAGGTTATTATGTATGAATGCTGGAAACCTTCTCCAGCGCCCCTTACATTAGAAATTTCACTCATCTCGAGTTTGGTGACTTCCTCTTTTTTTTTTTCCACCCAAATACAGACTGCCCCTTCCATTCTGGGGTCCACCAGTCCGGTTGCTTATCACGGGCAAGCAAGAGTTTGCAAGTTTGGTTCTTTCTCATTCACTTTGAAGTTTGACCCGAGACTTGTTTTTTTTTTCCATGAACACCTTGTGAAAGAACCTGACTGCTGGAGGTGATCAGAGCATCCTCCAGGAGAGGGATCCCAAATGGGCGGCTCCGGTCTATAGTTGGGGAGGTTCACCTGCTGACAATCCGACCCAGCGTCCCTAATAATACATGAGCAAGCACTGATCGTCTGATTGCCTTGACTTCATTTGTCCGAGACGCACTTTCTCCACATCCTCCACCTTATTCACTCACTCTACTAATGACTGGCCCCCCTTCCGTCAATCCTAATCACTCGGTATCACTTCTAAGTTTGAACCCATCGAACTCGTCGAGGTGGCGCGCTTGGTTCTGCCGACAGGCACTCTAATTGACCGACAAGAGCAGTTTAAAGAGGGGCTAGCGTGTACAGACTTGCTGACTATTACAAGAACAATAAGGAGAACAATAGAAGAACAAAGGACGGAAAATCAAAGAACAATAGAACTGAGACTTGCAGGATTTCACTCTTTGAAGATCATTCTGAGTGCGGGACGCTATACCCCTATTCCAGCAGATGTTGCTCTCAACCAATAGATCTGAGAGGGGTTAGCAAAAAAAAAAAAAAAGAGGGTGCATGAGTCATTGGCCATTTCTTACGGTCTCATTGCAAGGCATACTTGACGGGCACACAGGATTCATACGCTCTTTGTTACGTTCTGAGTGCGCATCGTACCTGGCGGGGCATGCAGGAGTCATTGGCCCTTTTTGTTGTTGTTGTTGTTGTTTTTACCAAAGCATAATCATTTCATTAAAGATTGAAATTCGAGGCCGGGGACCCTTTTTACGTTCTCAGTGGAAATAATACTTGAGTCTTGAGGGGCATATCAGTGCGAACACTGCAAAGTAGAACGACACATTAACGTCACAGCTTCACAGCGGTCATATCGCAGACAGGCACATTAACGTCACAGCTTCACAGCGGTCATATCGCATACAGGCACAGTGTCAAGCCGTAATCTACAATCTGTCTGTTGATGTGCATGCTGCTGTATACACTGTCACTATGGCAACCCCTTTTCCACCCAGAATGACTAGATACAGAATTGAAACAGCTTTACCGCACGCAAGAAGAGCCTGCGCAGCTCTGCCTGCGTAAGTACAGGAGTATTTGTGATTATGCAACCAATGGAATAGAGAACAGTACTGGAGTCAAGGAATATGAGAAGAGAAGATGGAACGGACAGAGCTCACAGGATGTTACACTGCTGATTGTATGTGTGCGGATCCACTTAGCCGCTGTGGAAGCACCCGTTAACCGCAGGGTGATATGTTCCCGTGTCGGTGGATGGGGCGGGAGTACCAGTGGTTTAGGGTTCGTGTGGAAGCACCCGTTAACCGCCGGGTGATATGTTCCCATGTTGGTGGATGGGGCGGGAGTACCAGTGATTAGGGTCCGTGCTGACTGGAGCGAAGTGTGCGAGAATTGTCATGTCTCTGTGGTGTTGTGTGTGGTGTGTGTTGAGTTGGACACTACAGTCTTGCAGGGGTGGTGTGGATATCACGATCGGTATGGTTCCGCTCTTGAACACCATTTCCTGACTGTAGTAGTTAAGATACTTGGCTATTGAGGCTGACGTCGCCGGTTCGAATCCGTCCTTCGGAGGAGGACTTCGAACTCAGATGTGCGGATCCACTTAGCCGCTGTATGTGAAAGACAGGACATGGTATCCATTACACGTGACTGCAAAATGAGCAGACGAAGGAGAAGTGAGCAGTAAACCATAAATCCTAAAACATGGAAAAGCAGACTCAAGACAAAGCGAATTTTGGAGGAGTCCTCGATTTTTGTCATGTTGCACATTGTGGCAGAGAAAAAGCAAGGAGATCAGTGAAGAGAAATGCATGTGAACGTCAGCGAACCACATTAGAAACCCTAAACCCTAAACCCTGCACACGAAAAGAGATGGAAGAGGTCATAATTTAATGATAATTACGTAGAAAGTAAGGAAGGCAATTAGAAACATGGAAAAATTTCTGGAAAAATAAGAAACGTGGATGTGACAGGTGATCGCAAATATAATCTGCCATCGAGAACATTCGTCGTAGTAAGTTAGTAACACTAAAATTGCAAGCACAGCTAAAAAGCAATGTGGTCCTGCATCTCTACTACATCCAGCAGGGCCATCCAAACGGTCCTTACGTCGGCATCCAGATTCGTCAGATCCATTTCCTCTAACTCCGGTATGTCCTCTTGCCTCTGCTGCATCCTGATCCTACGTCTAATCATTCTTTCTTTCTCATCCTGTATCGCTGTTCAAGCCTGCTGTAGCTGTGCTTCGCGAGCGTCTGCTCACTGAATGGCAACCTCCTCAGGAGTCAACACTAACTGCTGGCTAACCATTACACCAGCAGACTGATTCTGGGTCTGTGCACCCGTGGCCCCACTAGTCCCTGCACCACTGGCCTTCGAACTCTACTGCGCAGCAGTGGCCATTGTGGCCGCTGAGGCAGCTGCCTCTCTAGCGAAGGCCTTGCTTGCCTCTGCATCCCTTGCAATCCTTTGCTGACGCTGTCTTTCCCTAGCCTCCTGGAACCGAAGACGATCTCCCTCAGCTCCTAAAGCTACATGAACCAACGGGAGTCTTCGGCTTGACGAATGCAAGATCTGACCGTCCGGATCAATGTAGTCTCCGTCGCTCATATGCTACAGCAATGTACACAATCTGCACTAGGACACTCTCTGTTGCCTACCGCAGCTTAGTGGTCAAACCGATTTAAAAATAATGAACTAATTAATCGGAGGCAGTAACAGAAGATGCATAGTTGGGTTCAACAGGTAAGTCCAGATTCCTACAAACAACTCTATTTAATCTGACTAGTTCTTAAACAGAAAGCAAATGCGGAAAACAGATTGTTCTACCTATGTTGTCTGTCAGATGTGTTAATGGCAGTCACATCTAACTAATCAAAGATAAAAATAGAATTGCTTGCATGGATGTTTGCAGAATGGAATTGACAACGAACTATCACATGTAATCCACCCCTTCCCCAATTCTTCTTGAAGTCACTTGACGTCAGTGTTCCTGAGCAATCCAGATAGCGCTAGTGTCTGAAGATGTGCACGGCCCACCCCTGTGCCCCAAGTCATGAGCTATGACCAGTCCCGTTCGTGCTTTGTTTCCCCGCCGGAGGTTCTTTTCAGACGGGCCAGTACTTGTCTCCTTCATAGGACTGGCCAGTCCCCCACAACCTCTACTAAGCGCAGCAGGCAGACAAAAGGACAAAAGCAGCAAAGCATGCATGCTCTACTCCCGGTGGTTTGGCATGGTGACCGTGACCCAGTGCTTCCTCCAGGGCCCTTCAGATTGCAACGCCCTCTCCTTCCAGATGCTCCACGTGAATAATGCCGACTCTCAAGGTTGAGCGCACTTGACTCCTCACATGAGAGGACTCTCAAGACAGAACACGCATCCTCACGGTAAGAAGTGTCGAAGAGGGTAGATAACGACAAGAGCAATGTACTTCAAAATAGCTGGCCCCAACCACAGATATTCTCACCAGATGACCTGACGTCCATTGCGATGACCAATCAATGCCTTGGCACAACCAGCATTATACCGTCGTTCCACCTCAGCTTCAACCGTCAATCAGATAGTTCTCATCACACCGCAAAACACCCAATATCACCACATTAGCCTTCCTGGCGATACCCCTCATCTCCTAGGTCACCTTCCCGGTTGCCTTCCCATCCTCACTGCACACTTTCCACGGTCGCTCCCCCAGCTACCCGCGTGCATGCACCGCATAAGCAGAAGACAAGCACAGATGAGCGCATACGTACCACAGCTCCGATACCAAATGCAAGGAAAATGAGCGATAGCGAAATACAGAAACCAAGCCGCATCATACATATGACACCAGATAGTTATGACCTCGAACCAAAAGCAGAATTGCAACACGAAATACACCGAATAAGAGCACAGCAGAGCTCGCAAATGACAATGTTGAAATAGTATCGTCATCATCATCCATGAACCAATGTCGTTCCCCCAAGTGGCGCTCGGCGCCCAGACTACAAGTGGCAGATCCTATCTAGCCTATCTACAATGTCGCCGGTGACGTCAACAGTTTTCCGAAGTACGAGCAGATCTCGGCCAATGCCGTCCGCATCAAGCACCAGGTGTGTCCTCGCCACACTCACAACCTCGATCCCCCACACAGATGCCACATGCACCCGAAGACCACCATGCGTGTCATCCAGCAATGACAGGCAAGCCCGGCTATGGCTGCCTGCGTTCAACCCTGCTCGCCCGTGAGCGTGGAGGCTACTCACCTCTGAAGCTAGCGCAGCAGCGCTTACGCTTGAAGCAGCGAGTGCCCGAATGCCCAGCCAGTGGCCAAGCCCTTTCCTTTATGGAAAGTGGCTGCCAGTCGTGAGCTACCTGGCTGGTCTGAGCCTCTGCCCAGAAGCTTCTGGTAGGCCCCCAGTTGCTGGGCCTCTGTTCCAGGGGAATATTCCGCAAGGCCTCTGGCAGTTACGCGTGCCCAACTGCCAGGCGTGCTGTGTACAGTTTGTGCCCCGTGCCTGGCCCAGAGCCGGCCTGCGATTCTTTCAGGAAGAGCCTAGAAGCCCGAAACAGATGTTACTCAAGGCCTGGGCTTACTCAACCAACTCACGCTGCATAACTGTCTGATTTTCCCCAGTTGCGGAAAACACAAAAATAGGCGTCACACAACTTATCAGGCCCGCCTTCACTTAGGGCAGCCTTACTTGCTGAACAGGCCCAAAACGGCTTACCGAGGCCTTGAGCCTCGCAGTTTACAGATGAGGGCCCAAAATTTGGACAATCACAGAAATGACCCTTGTTATGTTACAGCTCGCTAAGAAACTGGGATGCTCAAATTTGTCGAATAGGTTGCGCATTTCTTGACTACTCAATTTTTTCCCCACTTTTCCCCCAAGACTTTCTCAGTTCCTGGTGAAGATTCATCTTCCCCAACCTTCCCTGCACCACACTCCACACAGTACCTTCGATGTTTTTTTTTCTTTTTCTTTTCCGTCTTTTGGGGAATACCGGTCGTTCGTCCC